AAGGACTATACGTATATGTATCATCCTACGTTTGGGTCTTATACTTGAAACGCTAGTTATTCTATATTTAGCCTGCTACTCGCTCGGTACTTGTACTGACCCCTTCGGGGGGCCCCACCATTTTCAGGTTGAAGCTAGGGCTTACTACCTGTACCTTTCTACGGGTGACATCAAATCAAGGAAGACGTGGTTCGTGCTTCCTCATTTTATTCCAAATTACCAAACATTGCTCATGGATATTTTTATTTGTTATAAACTATTCTTTTGGGGCTTGCATGCCCATGTTATTGGCCGGTTGTGGCTTATGACTTACCGTTGAATATTTCCGCTATTCATTGGTTTAAATGTGATGTTGTTATGTATGTTTACTACTGAGTATGGATGGATTATTTTTCTCGAACGCCTTGTGTAATCAAGTGAGGTTGACTCGCGGGTGACGTCACTTGATTACATGGCGGTTGTACACGCGCTTGGATTGCGGTCTGGGGCGTGACAATAGTGATGCAAGGCTGATAGCTAAAAACTTCGGGAGTTATGGGTGTACCGGCTATGTGTTTATGTTTGGTGGTGGGGCTGTTGCTCGGAAGTCCACTAAACAAACTGTGCTTTCATGTTCTACTTTTGAGGTTGAATTGTGTGCGTTGGATGTAATACGGAGGAGGAGGAGGAGGAGATCTCACGATCGCTGAAGATCTCACGATTGATGAAGATGAATTGGGGGAAAGGTGATTTAGGGATTGGGGGTAAAAATGTAATCTGGAGTCTTATTTAAGCAATTTAAAACTTCAAGTCATATTTTGGAGTTTTAACCATGTTTTAGTCCCATTTAGACATTTAGTATAATTACTTATTCTAGCTATTGTTTTGAGCATATGGAAAAGACGTAATGAAGTCGTCTGGAATGGAAAGGAGATCGGAGCAGGTGAAGTTCTTTTTATGGGGACAATCATGTTCTCTGCTTGGCAAAGGGAGAATGAAGTGGCTGGTTCCCAGCGTAGTCAACAGCAACGCCGGGGGGAGCAGTCGAGCAGATGGAAAAAGCCAGTACCGGGGTGTGTAAAGATTAACGTGGACGGAGCTGTTAATTTACCGGAGGGGATTGGTGCATGGGGATGGGTAGCACGAGATGACAATGGCCATTTTCTAAAAGCAGGAGGCGGGTCTAAAAGGGTGGATTGATCGGTGGAAGAAACAGAGGCTATGGGAATTAGGATCTTTTTACTTGTACTGTAATTTGCTGGTCTGGTCTGATCTGCCCTGGTCTGGTCTGGTCTGATCTGGTCTGGTTTCTTTGTATTTTTATAACTACGCAAGTCTGGTCTGGTCTGATCTGGTCTGGTCTGGGACAAATTACAGTCCAAATAAAAAGATCCTTAGAGATGCTATTATGGGAGCTATAGATGCAGGGTGGCAGCAGGTTGAACTTGAAACAGATTCGTTAAGAGTGGTAGAGAAAATTAAACGCACGGTGGGAGGAGTCTCTTATGTTGATGTGATTGTGGATGACATTAGAAGTATTATTGAAACAAAGAGTAACTGGAAGGTCTCTTTTTGTAGAAGGTTCTGCGAACACAGTGGCACATGCTTTGGCACGATCACGTGTAAATCTCTCAGATCATACTTTTAGTTTTCACATTATCCTTGATTGTATTTGTAATCATTTGACGAATGATCTTTTAATTATAAAGTTTTATGTTCGGTGATAAAAAAAAGTAAGCTTAAGCATTCATATCTATGGTGATCATTTACTCCCTCCGTCCCGGAAAATTGTTCTCCCATTGACTTGGAACGGAGTTTAAGAAAGTGGGAATAAAGTGAAAATGTATGGTTGTGGTTGAGTAAGAAAAAGGTAAATGAATTGTAGCCACAAAAAAATTTCCAAAAGGAGAAAGTGGAACAATTTTTTGGGACGGCCCAAAAAGGAAACAGGGAACAATTTTCCAGGCCGGAGGGAGTATGTAAGATCTTTATTATATCAACTTGTGAGCACTATATGTTGATTGATCAAAAGATTCAAAAGGGTAGAACAATCCTTTATCACGTCCAAGCTTATGAAATAAGTGTCAAATGAGAACCTCTCAAATGGGAGTGATTTTTTCAATTTAGCAGGCTTATCGATTATATTTTTCACCAAACACGTAACTTTTGATTTTTCGCGCTGAAATGTGTAATAATTTAATAAGAAAAAATAAGATTGAAGTTAGTTTTCTGACTGTATTGGTTGAAGTTACTATAGAAGATCATTTTAACTATTTTTCATATAATGTTTTCTTTGTTTTATTAATAAAATATAATTCAAATATAACTTATACATAAATGAGCAGAATCAGTCAATCCAGCCACTTCAGTCAGAACTTCATAAGTTTCAACATAATCAGGCGATTTTAGAGCCCGTTTAACTATCTAATTTCAATTTGTATTGTTAGGTAATTGTTTCCAAAATCGATTACTTCGGATTAGTCCTGGACTCGGGCCGGGTGGCCCGACCTGGAACTGGCCCGAGACCGGTACTGTGGTGAACCGGCCTGGTGGTACGGCCAGTGACTTGTCTGGGTAGGCCCAGCCCGGGGGGTTTCCGGTGCGGGCTCAGGTCACCCAAAAGTCGATACGGCCCAGCCGGTTTGGGCCCGGTTCCGAGCTTTTTAATTATTTTTTTTCGATTTTTTTTTTAACTTTTCGAGTTGGATTGAGTATTTTGGACTATTTGTGGTGGTTTGGGGGCTGGGCATGGGCATTGCGGGGTATTAATGAACCATGATAATTGTTACACTTTTTTTGGAAGAAAATAGACTTAATTAATATCAATCAGATCATTATTCAAAATACAATTAAGAAAAACAGGAGGAACATCAAACGAAGTATGCAAATCAGCTAAAGAACAGGCCACTCTTGCAAGTTCGTGGGCAGGGCCTTTGATAATGTGTCATCTACTTTGTAACACTTCAAATGCTCGTTCTACATCTTTTCTGATGGACTCTTGGCGTTTTGAAAAAAGTTTTTCCTTCCACTAGTACAAAAAAGGCTTTTCACATCGGTCAAAAAAGGCTTTTCACATCGGTCAAACAACCAATGTGGTTCCAGCCCATGTAAAAAGTCTCTACTTTTCACATCGGTAATAGAACCGGTGTAGGCCTGGCCTCGGTTCGGGCCGCCCGGCCTGGAACCGGCCCGATCCGCCACTGTGCGGGCCCGGCCCGGAACCGGCCCGACCCACCACTGTGCGGGCCCAGCCCGGAACCGGCCCGACCCACCACTGTGCGGGCCCGGCCCGGAGGCCCGGGGGTGGGGCGGTTCTGGGCTCGGGTCCTATTTTGGGCAGCCCGGCCCAGCCAGTCCGGGCCCAATCTATTTTTTTTATTTTATTTCGGTTTCTTTGGGCTGTTGGGCTTGGGCTTGATGTTTAGAACCGGTTTGGAGGGTTTGGAGGGGTGGGGGGTGGGGGGGAAGACTATGTTGTAAAAACCGGACCGGAGAGTGACCCGGCCACATGACTGGGTCACGGGTCAACCCGGACCCGGTGGGTCAACCCGGTCAACGCCGGAAAACCGGTCAATGATTATACGTGTATATAATAATAGTAAACATATAATTATATATAAAATTATAATAAAAATTAGTTATTATTCATAATAATCAACTAACAATAGTGTGAACAAAAAAACCGAAAAAACCGAAACCGACCGCCAAACCGACCGAAACCGACCGACCAAAACCGAAACCGACCAAAACCGAAACCGACCAAAACCGAACCGATAAAACCGAAACCGACCGAAATTGACTAATTCATCGGTTATTCGGTTTACGGTTCGTACTTTTGGCTTAAAAAACCGGTCAAATGAAAATAAACCGGAAAAAATGGCTAAAATTGACCAAAATTGTTTCAATTTTTGTGGTCCGATTCTCTATTTCATCTATTTTTAAAGCCGCTAAAACCGCCCGACTAAAACCGAAACCGATCAAAACCGACCGACTAAAAACCGAAACCGACTAAAACCGAACCGATAAAACCGAAACCGCCAAAACCGAACCGACGAACACCCCTAAACAATACTACTTATTAAGCATTTAATACACTCTCATAATATTTCAGTGTATATTTTGATCTTATAAAAATATATAATGATATTTTTATTTTTATTGTACATCTATATTATAATTTGGCATGATGTTCATTCTTAAATAAATATATAAATATACTACGTAGTTTTTCTTTTTAAGGTATTGAAATTGCAATTTTATTGGTATAAAAAATGCATTAAAAATAAAAAAGAAATTACTTTTTTTTGGTAAAAACACCCAAAAACTGGGTTTTACCGGGTTTTTCGGGTTTCTTGGGTCCGGGTCTTTACCGGGTTTTCCCAGGTCAGCCGAGTTTTTCCGGTTTTGTCCATTTCCGGGTTTTGAAAAAACCGAACCGATTTTTTGTCCGGGTCACCGGGTTCCGGGGCAATCCGGCCGGGTCGGGTCGGTTTTTTAAACATAGGGGGAAGAAAGGAAAAAAAATAGGCAAAAAAGGTGGTCCGGCCCGGAACCGGGGACCACCGATCCGGGCTCAGGCCTTGCAGTTGGTGAACCGGGGCCCGGCCGGTTCAAGGCCCGAACCGGGCCCGGCCCAGCCCGAGGCCAGCAATAAACCAGTGTGAAAAATCTTTCTACATCGGTTGTGCAATACCCGATCTAGAAGATTGTACAAAACGGCGTTTTAAATGGTATTCCACATCGATTATAACTTATAAGTTATAACCGATGTGGAATTATTTACATCGGGTAAAAAAAAAACTATGTAGAAAAGCTTCATTTTTTCCGGAACATAGGGTTTTTCACATCGGTTATAACCCATGTAGAAAAGCTTTCACATCGGTTGTTTTATCAACCCATGTAGAAATTTTCAAGAAAAATTGCAATATGACCCCATTTATACTATGAAACCACTGACATAAGAACTTCATTGATATGAAAACCATAAATAAATTAACGTGAATGCAGGAGAAGAGAAATGCCAAAACAGTAGTATACAAAATGCCATTAATATATACGTAGTATAATATACATCCAATACATGATTTCATTACAATGTGTATAACATTTCTTACTGGGAAGATTAAAACAAACTTATGTACTAATGAGATGGCTTAAAACACTTATGAGGCTGCATCAACCGGAGATAATTAGATGACTCTGTAAGCTCTTTGGCATTTAGAAGCAGCAACATCGCTTTGGCGCACTAGTACATTAAGTATATGTTATATTTGAGCTGTTCATCTTGTGCCTCTGTATGAATGCCTCACTTCTAGAAAAAACAATGCCCCACAAGTTCACGTTTGATCACTCTTTTCCCCCGAGACTGATTCTGAATAAGATAACCTTTACAAATTGAGAAAAAGTATTACATTACATTAAAAGGAGCCAATTGTGCTAAATGTATATAAAATAATACTATCGTACTTCGTAATATACTTTATCTCACATGTCATTAAAAGTCATGTTCTACACGGAAAGTATTAAGTTGGTTACTGAGTCGGAACCTATTTTCTCCTTAAAAATTCTTTCAAAATTTCCTTGCATCAATTGCCTTTACCTGCCATTTCACAGTTTCCATATGAACCATAACATAATTTTTGTAATGAAAGATCAAGCTTTATGTGCCAGATCATTAGGGAGGTAGGTGGGGAGTGAAAAACACGGGTACCTGAAATAATGCGACAATGGACAACAGCTCATTTACCAATGCACTTGTGCATTCAACCTGTTAGTTGGCAAAATGCATAAACATTTGAGCAGGTAATCCAAATCAAGACACATATCATCTAGGATTATGTGTTGCCTAATATACCAAAATAAAACGGCTAACATGACAACAAAACAAACAATCATGGAGAGAAGTTCACAAATAAAGTACATATTTATTTATTTTTACTTTTAGGAGGGAATAACCTTAGGTAGCAAAGCTTATTGAACACGCCATTGCTTGCATCATATCAATGGTTGAGTAGATGGTATCTTTTTTGTTTTGAATATCTGCCTGCTCATGCATGGAATATTTCAAAGAGAAGAAACATAAAGTGAATCAGCAAGGAAAAGAAGAAAAATAGAAGACGTAGAACGGGATCGAACCAGTGACCTCCGTATCACATCAGCTCTCCATCACCACTGCACAGCTACACTTTTTTAATATTTAGACGCGTTTTCTTATACATATACTCGTCGACTCCGTAAACTCCAGCAGATTAATGATGATCATCTTATCATTATATTGCTTTAATCCTTCTTCCTCCACACATAATTTCGGGTCATTCTCTCACTACTCATCCTAGAAACATTTCCTCCTCCTCTCTTCATTCTTCACCTCCAAATCATCATTCAATCTTCAACATCAATTAATCACCTTCTCATTCAAGATTAGCACCAAGCTCCAAGGATTGTCATCTATCACAAGTTTGATCTTCCTTATCTCATTAAATCTTGTATTTTAATCATGAATTCGTGTATTTCTAAACTTCCCAACATGTATAGCTATATAAATTTGGGGCTAGAAATTGGTTAATTAATTGTTCTTATCATGTTTTAATTTGTATTGATTTTAATTGTTAAGATTGTTCTTTTTAGACTGTTGTGTCCAGAAAATTAATTAAGTTGTGTTTGTGATATATATAATGAGTACTCAATCATAAACATATTGTTTATTAAATACACAAATGAACACTTTCTGAACACACCGTTAAACTTCTTTTACCTTGTCCCGGATTGAAGTTTTACGGGGGGAATTTAATTATTTAATTATATTATTTACACCACGGGGTTGGGTAAATAATATAATTAATAATTAAGGTTGTCATTGCACTTAAACAACTAGTCTCGTTTTGGCCATCACTGGGAAACGTTGACTAGTTACTTATTTTAGATGACTTGTGTTGGGTCCTAAAATATTTATCTACAACTTCTCACAATCTATCTAAGAATAAAATTAACAATTATGTCTTTCAATTAAACATTGAATAATTAGTTACCAATTTCTACCCCTACTTGCTATTTGTTGAACTTGGTGTTGACAAAAATCTCTCATACAATCACTTTAATTTTATTACTTTTGCAAGCAATCAAAAATCAAAAGAAACGCATTATCAACTTTAATCCTTAGTTCGTGATTAATTATTTTATTTCCCGCTTCTCTGTGGTTCGACACCCTACTTCCTTGGGTAAAAAATAGTTGTGTGCCCGTTATATGCTACACACCACCCGGTTGCCACTGGGTACAGGCCGGGCTAGTCCTGGACTCGGGCCGGTCGGCCCGACCCGGGACCGAACCGGCCTGGTTACTGTTGACCCGGCCCGAGGCCCGGCTCAGTGGAACCGGTTCGCCGGCCCGGCCCGACCCGGCTGCTGGGCGGTCCGGGCCCGAGCCCTCCAATATGTGAACCGGCCCGGCCGGTTCAAGCCCAGTCCGGGCCGGATTTAATTTTTTTTTAATATTTAGGTTGGAATAGGTGTTTTGGGCCATTTGAGGTAGTTTGGGGTTGAGGAAAGGGTAGGGGGTTAAGAAAAACAACCAAAAAAAAAAGTAACCGGGTGACCCGGCCCGGAACCGGCCACCGCCGGTTCGGGCCCGAGCCTCCTTTGCAGCGAACCGGGGCCCGGCCGGTTCTGGGCCCGAACCGGGTCCAGCACTAGGCCGGGCCATGCCTCGGGCTACTTAGTTTTTTTTTTTTTTTGGCTTTTCTACTTACCCCCCCCCCCCCCCCCAACCCCCAAAACACCCAGCCCCAGCCCAGAATAAACAAAATAAATTTGGAAAAAAAAAAAACAGAACAGGCCTGACCCGGCCGATTCGTGTTTTGGGTGACTCAAGCCCGCACAGTAAACACCCCGAGCCGGACCTACCCAGACTGGTCCCTGGCCGGGCCACCAGTTTGGGCCAGGCCCAAACAGTGCTGGTCCGGTCCACCCGGCGCAAGTCCATGCATATATCCACATAGTAATTCAAATGTTTTTTAGCTTAATTAACATTTAACACAAATCAGTTACTGTAGATGATTAGGTTAAACTCGAGTAATCTGAGCAAAACTAAGTTTATGTGAAGTTTTACATACGAAGTAATCGATTTTGGCAAATCCATCGAGGCTAGATCAGCTTCTTGATATATTCTGAGCAAAACTAAGTTCAACAATATGCAAAAATTATGAAAAGGTACTCCACTAAATTCTGATATAATCTAAACAAAACTACGTTGAAAAATATGTGCTCTTCAATGTCCTGGCAAGGTTAGCCATCCCTATGGGGTAAGGCCTCTCATCAGCTACTGGACTAGTGCACAACTTTACCATCATAAGAAAACTGTCGGCGTCACTTGTGGAGAATCCACATCCTCTCAACTGGTCTGCCAATAATTCAACTCTTGTATCTAAAATACTAGGCAATTGCCATGTGTATGCCGCCCCGGTTAGAAGAGCCATTGTGATTAGCCCTAAGCTAACCACGTCAAACTTTCTGTCACGAGTTTCTGCAACAACAACAATAATCAAGTTGTAATCCCAAAAGAATTTAGAATCAACTAACGTGAATCCACCAGTCACCACATATGAAATATGAGTTAAAACTGATAAAGTTAAAAATGATATGTAGTAATATTTTCTTTATTAAACTTATGAATTCAGCCAACAAAGTTGCCTCTTTTCACCACTCTAGCTCCCACTGGCAACGGGTAAAAGACTACTTCGTAGGCGACTTGGATCTTCTAACCTTTTACAGCTAATGGTTCCGATGGAGGTTTAAAAATTCTCTGCATTTTCTTTGCCGCGACGAATCAATTGGAACAATAACTTCTACCAAGGAAGCAATGCTGCAATGTTGATGTCAGAAGGCACAGGAATCACTCCAATTCAGTCAATCGTATTCAGGCAGTTTACGTTTTGCCTTCACATATCATTTGACTGAATTGGAGTGATTCTTGTGCCTTCTGACATCAACATTGCAGCATTGCTTCCTTGGTAGAAGTTATTGTTCCAATTGATTCGTCGCGGCAAAGAAAATGCAGAGAATTTTTAAACCTCCATCGGAACCATTAGCTATAAAAGGTTAGAAGATCCAAGTCGCCTACGAAGTAGTCTTTTACCCGTTGCCAGTGGGAGCTAGAGTGGTGGAAAGAGGCAACTTTGTTGGCTGAATTCATAAGTTTAATAAAGAAAATATTACTACGTATCATTTTTAACTTTATCAGTTTTAACTCATATTTCATATGTGGTGACTGGTGGATTCATGTTAGTTGATTCTAAATTCTTTTGGGATTACAACTTGATTATTGTTGTTGTTGCAGAAACTCGTGACAGAAAGTTTGACGTGGTTAGCTTAGGGCTAATCACAATGGCTCTTCTAACCGGGGCGGCATACACATGGCAATTGCCTAGTATTTTCGATACAAGAGTTGAATTATTGGCAGACCAGTTGAGAGGATGTGGATTCTCCACAAGTGACGCCGACAGTTTTCTTATGATGGTAAAGTTGTGCATTAGTCCAGTAGCTGATGAGAGGCCTTACCCCATAGGGATGGCTAACCTTGCCAGGACATTGAAGAGCACATATTTTTCAACGTAGTTTTGTTTAGATTATATCTGAATTTAGTGGAGTACCTTTTCATAATTTTTGCATATTGTTGAACTTAGTTTTGCTCAAAATATATCAAGAAGCTGATCTAGCCTCGATGGATTTGCCAAAATCGATTACTTCGTTTGTAAAACTTCACATAAACTTAGTTTTGCTCAGATTACTCGAGTTTAACCTAATCATCTACAGTAATTGATTTGTGTTAAATGTTAATTAAGCTAAAAAACATTTGAATTACTATGTGGATATATGCATGGACTTGCGCCGGGTGGCCCGACCCGGAACTGGACCGGACCAGCACTGTTTGGGCCTGGCCCAAACTCGTGGCCCGGCCAGGGACCAGTCTGGGTAGGTCCGGCTCGGGGGGTTTACTGTGCGGGCTTGAGTCACCCAAAACACGAATCGGCCGGGTCGGGCCTGTTCTATTTTTTTTTTCAAATTTATTTTGTTTATTCTGGGCTGGGGCTGGGTGTTTTGGGGGTTGGGGGGGGTTAAGTAGAAAAGCCAAAAAAAAAAAACTAAGTAGCCCGAGGCATGGCCCGGCCTAGTGCTGGACCCGGTTCGGGCCCAGAACCGGCCGGGCCCCGGTTCGCTGCAAAGGAGGCCCGGGCCCGAACCGGCCACCGCTGGTTCCGGGCCGGGTCACCCGGTTACTATTTTTTTTTTTTTTTTTTGGTTCTTTTTCTTAACCCCCTACCCCTTTCCTCAACCCCAAACCACCCCAAACTACATCAAATGGCCCAAAACACCTATTCCAACCTAAATATTAAAAAAAAAATCAAAAAAAAAAAACAAAAAAAAATCCGGCCCGGACTGGGCTTGAACCGGCCGGGCCGGTTCACATATTGGAGGGCTCGGGCCCGGACCGCCCAACAGCCGGGTCGGGCCGGGCCGGCGAACCGGTTCCTGAATGAATTGAAGAAAGGAGTGTTTTCTGCTAAAACCTATGTGTTGCTGTCCTTGTGCAGAAGACCGAGGTCATCCCTGATTTTTGCTGCACGGGGATAGTTTTCCTCTTCAATTGCAAGTTGTAATTCCTGCTTGCAATCATCTTGGGATAGTTTGCCTTCACAATCAATTGGCCCATTTGTCAATTATTTTGGGATATATTCCAAGATAATTGGAGCAGGAATTACAGCTTGCAATTGAAGAGGAAAACTATCCCCGTGCAGCGAAAATCAGGGATGACCTCGGTCTTCTGCACAAGGACAGCAACACATAGGTTTTAGCAGAAAACACTCCTTTCTTCAATTCATTCAGGAGCGTTGACTTGGCAGCCATGTAAGCTCTCTGGCCAAAGGGTGAAAATGTTTCGGTGCACCCTGGGGTGAGCGGAATATGTGGGTATGATCTTGTGATGGGAAGCTGAGAGTTTGTGTGTGCTGACTATGATTTCCCCTTGGAGATTGAGATCAAGGACAACAAGGTTCACGTTAAAGGTGGCCTTGGCTATGTCACTTGCATTGAGATGGTGAAGGCTAAGGGCGGCAGCAGCAGGGGTAAACAGTTTGCCACTGATGTGTTGAGAAGATTGATGGTCACTGGTATATATGCATTCACCAGGCTACATATATTGACTCTTAAAAGTATAACTTCATTAAAGTGTTCGTAGACGGTAGGTTGTGGAATTGCGAATTTTGTTCTCTAATATACTATATATTATACTTGGTAATGAGTACTTATTATTATACGTAGCAGCTGCATATTTTTTTAACATCTGTATATACTCTATTATACTTGTGAAAAAAATCTTATCATAAAAAAGATTTCAATGCATTTACCATTTCGTCCTGTAACTACGACACTCCGAAGATCCGATATGTAAGAAAGAGTGCCAAAGTCAGCTCTCACCGCCCTGTCATCCTATTCAACACAAACAAAACATAAAAAAAATCAATCAATATATAATTTATAATTTAATGTTATTCATGCATTAATTTTCAAATATGATTTGGAAAAATATTAATCAATGTTATTCATGCATTAATTGAAATACTCCGTAATAACTTACATGCATAAGGATATTCTTCATCTTTAAATCTCCATGCACCATATATAAAAGGCCCGACATGCTCATCACATGTAGGCCATATGCCACATCGTAGATGATTGACAATATACGACATATGCTATGTGGCATGGTGCGACTGATATCTACCATATTAAATATTAAAACATGTTAGACAAATATATAACATATTAAAATAAACATAGATTCAGTTTTAGAATAAATACGAACGACACTAATTATTACCATGTGCATGGGATTCTAAAGTTTGGCCGTTTGCGAAAGGAAGCACAATGCATTTAAAGTACTCGTTCGTTCCTATTGCAAGTTTCATGTTCAGCCTTTCATGGTACATACCATCAGTAGTTGAAGTCTCAGGCTATATTAGCACACAGATATATCAGTAAGCATAATTTGTTGTTCCCATACAAACTTAAATTTTGTTGATAAAATAAAAACTAAAAACCTTACCCAATAAGAACTAGCCACAAAATCAGAAAAACTCTTTTGAAACACCTTAATTGCATATCTACCCGGATGTAGATTCAATGCATTCTGCATTGGGATGTTAACATCATAGACCTTGCCAAAGGAACCTTCACCTATAAGCATCGCTACACAAGCAAAACCCAAAACAACAGTGATAATGATTTACTTCCAAATAAAAAATAATAATAAAAACAGCCAACACAAGATGAATTAGTTACCGTTTTGAGTGTCGAGTCTGTACACTCGAAGAAAATCATCGAATGATTTTACTTCTTGGCCCGAAATGTTGAAATCGAGATCAATGACTACAAGTAATTTATAAATATCATACCGTAATGAAATGAGTTTGAACTGTAGTAATTCTTATATTACATAATTAAACGACAGAATTATGGATAACAACCATAATAGTAACAGTGGAAAATTGTACTTTCCATCCCTCATTATTTTAATGAAGTTTATGTCTTTCGACTTTGTAAATGTCATCTCATAAATGTGTTACATAATGTGACTTCAGTCCTCAGCGCTAATACTATAACAAACTTTGTTGCTACATCATTAACGGCATGTACATCATTAATGTGACCTCAGTCCTCACCAAATAACACATGCTGAGGTTGATTTTCACTTTACACGAGATGAGGTGTAAAACTTTGATACTTCTACTCATCACTAGTCCTCTTCTGACCAATTAGTTAATTAGTACTGTGTTGCCTTTTGATTAGTCATTCATGCAACATTACCAATGGGTCCTTTGTTAACTTCGCTTGGTTTGTATTCCGATGTAAAAGCCGCACATTGTGTTTTCACTATGGTCTTGAGGAGGTGTTGGATTGAGAAGATTACGATACCATTTGTCAAACTATGAACTCTTTCATGTTTTGAACTCCATTAAACATATCAAAAAAAGAAATAAAAACTAACTCTTTCATGTCAAACTATCAAAGTTGAGTTGGTAAAAAAGAAAGTCAGATTGATGTAACTAAATCTCAAACATAAGAACTAACAAAATAAGGTTTAAAGTTGAAATAAAAACCTTGCGGCGAGCTAGAAAATGACAAAAATCTGTCAATGGTTGAGAATAATGCCAAATTATTGTGAAAGACATGCACTCATTGAAGAACCCTCCTGTCAAGCAAGTTAGTAGAACATGTTACTGCCATTAATTTTAGTTCTAAGTCCAATACATAAAAACGTTCTATGAGATTCTAACATATCTAAATCACAAGCAGACATGTTAACCAATAAAAGAAATGAATTTCACTAGTTTCAATTATAACGGTTCGTTGTTGATATGAAGAAAAAATAACAGATACTACTAAAACAACAACAACCCAGCCTTAATCCCAAAAGAGTTTGAGGATGGCTAATGATTGAAGAGGCTACACTTCTATGTATTGAAATGGAGTTCAGAAAAGCATGCCAAAACAAATATAGTGATTTCTAAATTTACAATAGTGGAAAAGATGTCAGTAGAGCTGGAGTTCCCGAAAAGTAATCAGCTCACTTCAAATAGATTCCGCTCATTAATAATTCCAAGACAACAGTTCCAACTAAAATGCATTAAATAATACAACAAATTAATTGTATTTGAATGTTGGTGTTCCCGTGGAAACACCTTTATAGGCACTCCTACAAAATAGGGACCATTACAATGCTGATTCAACACTAAACCGGCGATGATACCTCATACCCAAACAAAAGTATTCATTCATATATTCTACACTTCTCAATTCAAATATGAATCTCCAAAAATTTGTTATATTTTCAGAGGATAAGAATGAACAGCCCAACACCTGAAAAATGAAGACCACTCATTCAAAAGGAATCAGAAAATACCCACTGTTATTATCCTGTTACCCATGCTATTTTTTTATTTATTTATGATTTGTAAATGCTGCAAACAACTTGCCCTCAAGACATCCTAGCATAACAAAAGTTGTGTAGACAAGAATGCTCATACAGAGTACGAAATATTTTGAAGTTTGTGGGAAACGAAAATTGGATTTTCTTCAGTGTTTGTGCGAGTTGTTGAGAGTACTAAGAGCTCAGAGCTAATATGAAAGAGATTAACAACTAAGCATCACAAAAGTAAGGTTTGGCCTTCTCATGTTTATTGGAGAAGATAGAGAACACAAAGCATAAACTCGTCATTGCAATTCCCATGACCAAGATATATATCTAAACATATTACCATTTATAGATCCTTTTCTTCTAAAATGACCATTCCAAATTGACAGTTGTATATTTCAATTTGGCATTCCACATAGGTATTACAATTTTTTATTGGGAACACATTACATATTTATAAGATGTACTTACATGTTGTTGGAGAATAATTATACCCATCGCGATGAAATATGCGTCAACAGAAGATGGTAAGTTTCCATTCCTGAATGAAGTTTCATGAAAAACTATCATTATAAATTGATAATACAAAAAATGAACTCAATAAGTTTAACAAGGCTCACTCATCGTGGAAAAAAGAACCACCGGGTTCTAAAATGTCTGATAAATCGTGAAGCCATTCAAGGCATGTCTCCTCCTGTAGAATTAAATCAATACTTAATTACTATTATCAAGTATAGTATAAAAAACGGGAAACAACAAATTAATTTTAATTTTTACCTCATCCATGTGCATTGTCATAGCCTCGAATAAATTCTCCAATCTCTCAAGAATATTCATTCTTTTGTTCTCAAAAGACGGGATAACTTGTGCACGATATTCATCTATGTTCGCCACACTTAGCCAACTCAAGTCAAGTGTTTCATTTGTTTTCACATAAGTGTTTACGTTTGTCTCTAACGAGACAACTGTGAATAGCAAATAGATTCAAATAGACATTGTTATACTCATACACGCATATATAGAGGTTTTAAATGAGAATCACTTTTCAAATGAGAACAAATTTATGAATGAGTACGCATTAGGATTCAGCCGCAAAAGAGCAATCAAGGGACATGAACCAAGTGATATTTTTCTTTTGAACCTGTTCCTAACTTTGGCTTTAGTCCCCAAAGGGTGAACCTAAGATCTCTCCTTTCTTCTCACTTGTGCAGGAGCAATTCCACCAATTCCGAGATAATTTTTAGATTCCTTGGGAAATGAGTGGGATTCCAACACACACTTAACAAAACAAACCAGTCCAATGGATTCTCTCTTTTGTTGTCAATCCTGGTGTCTACAAATTCAAATATATATTTTGGATTCTAATCATCTCCCTTTTAGATCCTCATTGCAAGCAAACAAGTCCTATCATCCCTAAACCCTTCTAGTACTCTTTAAGTGCAGTAAAACGAAACATATTATCCTAGTTTTCTTCTTCTGAGAGTTAATTAAATTGCCAAGAAGAAATGCAGTTACCTAGAAACCTAGTTAGCAGATTCACAGATGTTTTTCTGTGTTAGATTAGTGAGATGTATTCTCATCTTCTTTTGAATGAATCACATTTATGTACTACGAAGCAGAAGTATTCATTCACCCCATTTGAATTATAAACGAGAGGGCTGTAGGGTTGTCTGAGTGTCTCTACTATGTTCTTTCTTCTATTATTTCAGAATTAACTGTGTTGGGGTACAGTTAAACCAAATTGATGATAAGCGGGTCAGTGTCCAAATTATTATAAAAAGTTGTATTGTTTGTTTATTGGGAGATTATACAAATATGATAAAAACATTGTCATTTTTCAAAAATAAGATCTAACGTTTAAAAGTCCATAAATAGGGCTTATTATTTGTAATTGGACAAAAATACTCTTATGATGAAGAATAGCATCTTTGATTTTCTTGATATTTTATAAAATAATTAGACAAACATAAACAAAAAATAATAATTACAACGAGTAACGCATCTCAGAGTGGTCATAATCGTGACATACTCACCACACAGATCTTGCTCCTGTGGAGCCACATTAATCTGAATAGGTTTAGCAATCCCCGACACTAATCAAACATAAAAATTAGGGAAAACTGTCAAATAGGTCCTCGAACTTTCAGAAAAAAGTCAATTAAGTCCTTCTATAGGAGACTCTGTCCGGCCGTCGCGATTTGGGGCGGTTCTCGGTGGAATTTTTTGATGAATTTTTTTGAGCATCTTATTCATCAAGTCTAGTTTATTCATACCAAATTTCAGCTAAAAATTCAACTGGGAAAGCTTTCAAATTAATTCGAGAACGCAAAAATGCGCAGTTATCTTCAAGAATTAATTTGAATGTGTTCCCGATTGAATTTTTAGCTGAAATTTGGTATGAGTAAACTAGACTTGATGAATAAGATGCTAAAAAAAATTCATCAAAAAAATCTATCGGGAACCGCCCCAAATTGAGACGGCCGGACAGAACATCCTATAGAAGGACTTAATTGACTTTTTTATGAAAGTTCGAGGACCTATTTGACAGTTTTCCCTAAAAATTATGTTAGTTAATAATAAAAATAAAGTAACAACTTCACCAAACTACATTTAGGGGCTAGCATAATCCAGTCCGGACCCATAATAGACAGTTAGGATTATTCAAAGTGTATAGCCAATAGTTGAGATCATTAAAAGCGTACCGGCATTAGTTGGGATTATCACTTTTTAGTTTTTGACTTTTTCCTAACATAAATTTCCATTGTTTTCAATATGGAGCAAAAATGTCTTCTAAAAAATAAATAAATAAGGAGCCAAAATGGCCAACCAGTCTTTCTGAGTTGAGATTATTACTAGGCATACTTCCTACTCTTAAGTTAAGAATAAGAATTATGCTCAACAAATGGGTTTAAAGCATTTCCATGCTCAGCCCAAACAACTATGGATATAACCCAACAAAGAGGCTTGCCATGTGGTTGTAAACAACTATGGATCACGAAAAATTATTTGATAAAGTTTTTGCAAGAATCGGAGCACAAATGAAAATGTTATACCATTTAAAAAACAATAATTGCTTGCCATGTGGTTTTAAACTATTGGATGAAGAATCAATTTTGCAATTGATTAAATTTAATGGGGGGTGCATTCCTCAAACTGCCTAGGTATGTGATTAACAAAAAATTGTAATCTTATTATCTTAACATACAACTCTAATTAACATGCAATCACAACTAATGTATGTTAACAAGTGAGGATATTTTCAACATTATATTCCAACAATAGAATATTGACTTACTCCGACAATATAGTTGAATGTAAACCCATGTTGCCAGCCCGTGTAGCTCATAAGTGGGGATATGTCACACTCCTCTATAACCTCTGACTTTTAGCGTACAATGATGGTGGTTAAACTCCATTGTTAGTGACTTTTAGCGTACTCTGGAATGTTCATATTTAGAAAGTTTTACATAGAGTGAGAATGAAATCAAAGCAGTTAAAGTACTTATTACGAACATCCTCAACTTTACTACCAATGTAAACCGTAATTATACCTTAGATAAATATGTGTAGATGTACCTAACTTATATAAATACTACCAATGTATTATAATGCATATAAAGCAAGAAACACTAACATACTGTTTTACTTATTGAACAAAACAATGTTTATGTAATGGAGAAAACTATCGGTACAACTACCTCCCTGCGGCTGAACTTCGCTCGTCCCAAAACTTAGAGGCTGAAAACGAAGAGAAGAGAGACACGAAGCAATTCCGATATAAAACAACAGCACCCACCTTCCGTTCCAGTCCAAACGTATCGGCTGAAAACGAAGAGAAGGGAAAAATGAGAACTACCCTAGTAGGCGGCTGAATCGCCGAACCCTATAGAGCATACACAAAATTCGCCTCTTAGTATTAGTATGGTTATGATACCATAAAACTGATGTGCCATATTATGTCGTGTAACAAAAAATCACACACACATTGAGAACAATTTATTCCATACTGTTCGTGTCTTTGGTTATGAATGGAGCATTAAAGATTGTATATTATCCTTTCTGAGTTGTGGTTATTATGGCTGTTCAATTCCCTCATTTTAGTTTGTTAGGGGGTGATTTCCGCTTTTAGTGCTTAATAATTATGGTTAGGCCATGAACAAACCCTAAATCGATCTAGGAGGTACTCCGGCAAAAAGTTTAGATCAGGTGACTGTTTATTCTACTTTTGTGAATTTCTTACTCCCTTCGTCCCAAATTGTTTTGCAAAGTCAACATTTTTAGGTCAACCGATAATAAAAGTCAATGCTCTGTATCGATAATTAATTTAATTTTTAATTATTAAAAATTATATTTCGTATATTCATAAGCTACATTAAAATCTCTTCAAAGTTGTAAACTCTAAATTAAAATATAATTAAAAATTGACATCCTAATTAAGCGAATAAAATGAAACTGATTGATCAAGAAAAGTCAAATTTGCAAAGCATTTTGGGACGGATGTAGTATGTTTTAGGATATTTTCTTTTGGACTGAAATTTGCTGGTCTGATCTAGTCTGGTCTGATAAACATCTTATCTCTGTGTATTTTATAATTACAGAAGTCTAATCTGGTCTGGGCTAGTCTAGTTTGATACAGTTTGGTCTAGGACTGAAAACAGTCCAAAAGAAAATATCCTTAGTATTCATTCATTTCAATTTCTACTAACTTACATGTTTTCTTATCGACTGTTTTAAGTCTCAAACTAGACCAGATCCGACCAAATCAGACCAGAGATCTATAATTATAAAATACACAAAGCCATACGTTTACCAAACCAGTTCAGACCAGACCAGACCAGCTTCTAAATGATTGGCATTTAGAAGCAGCAACATCGCTTTGGCGCACGTACTAGTACATTGAGTATATGTTATATTTGAGCTGTTCATCTTGTGCCTCTGTATGAATGCCTCACTTCTAGAAAAAACAATGCCCCATATGCCCCACAAGTTCACGTTTGATCACTCTTTTCCCCCGAGACTGATTCTGGATAAGATAACCTTTACAAATTGAGAAAAAGTATTACATTACATTAAAAGGAGCCAATTGTGCTAAATGTATATAAAATAATACTATCGTACTTCGTAATATACTTTATCTCACATGTCATTAAAAGTCATGTTCTACACGGAAAGTATTAAGTTGGTTACTGAGTCGGAACCTATTTTCTCCTTAAAAATTCTTTCAAAATTTCCTTGCATCAATTGCCTTTACCTGCCATTTCACAGTTTCCATATGAACCATAACATAATTTTTGTAATGAAAGATCAAGCTTTATGTGCCAGATCATTAGGGAGGTAGGTGGGGAGTGAAAAACACGGGTACCTGAAATAATGCGACAATGGACAACAGCTCATTTACCAATGCACTTGTGCATTCAACCTGTTAGTTGGCAAAATGCATAAACATTTGAGCAGGTAATCCAAATCAAGACACATATCATCTAGGATTATGTGTTGCCTAATATACCAAAATAAAACGGCTAACATGACAACAAAACAAACAATCATGGAGAGAAGTTCACAAAGTACATATTTAATTTTTTTTACTTTTAGGAGGGAATGACCTTAGGTAGCAAAGCTTATTGAACACGCCATTGCTTGCATCATATCAATGGTTGAGTAGATGGCATCTTTTATGTTTTGAATATCTGCCTGCTCATGGAATATTTCAAAGAGAAAAGAAACATAAAGTGAATAATGGAATAAAATTTCTTAACATATAGGTTGTCAACAACATATGATAAAGTGAAGTAAACTGAAAGTGAAATAAAGTAAAAAGTGAAAAGTTAAGTAAACTTCACTTTCAAAAGAGCTATATATAACACACATGAACTTAAAACTAAATTTAATGGATTGTCTAGTCTCTTTAATCTGCTTAATGTTAAAGTAAAGAGTTCGAATAGAAAACTGCCAAATCAACTCCAAATTGCACCTCAAAATTATAAATACGGGTACCATATATCATTTAGTTGGATTATATACATCCTTGGTCTTTGGAACACCTGGTACAACCTACAGAAAATCATTTATAATGTAATTCAAAGAAGAAAAATTTGACACTTTTCTCTATTTGAAATGGATAAATAAGTTCTAAGTCAACACCAACCCTTCAGTCCCAAGTTGAGTACTCAAACCTCAGGCCTATATACCATTTCAATCTAATCCTTGCAAAAGTTGGAGCATACTTCATCAAAAGATTCAAAGATGTATATATACATAGTTGGGGAATTTCCACTGTTAAACTCCCAGTGTTTGAGTGTTAGAGAGTACTATAGCTCTCATAATCCTTATCTAGTTAAAATTTTAACAACATTTCAATCTGAAAACAGCAGAGTAAACAGCACTTCAGTACAACTTCAAACTATCACCTAAAGGGATTTTTCCTAATGGGGGCAGACAGCATATTCATTTCTAAAGGTGATAACGCATCGGCTCTCAGTCGACCCGGCCTCCTCCCCCATCAAGCAAAAGAAGCGCTACCTCTCAACCGACAGGAGGGAATTTGTAAAGACCGAAGTGGCCATGCTGCTCTCCATCAAGCACATCAGGGAGGTGAAGTACCCCACGTGGCTGGCGAACGTCGTCCTCGCCCCAAAACCGCCTACGTTCAGGATGTGCGTTGACTACACCGACCTGAACAAGGCATGCCCAATGGACCCATTCCCTCTCCCCAACATTGATCAGTTGGTGGACGAGATGGCGGGGTGCGAGTTGATGTTGTTCCTCGACGCGTTCAGAGGGTACCACCAGATATCAATGCATGAAGATGACGCGGAGAAAACTGCTTTCATGACCCTGGAGGGAATCTTTTGCTACCTCGTCATGGCCTTTGGGCTCAAGAATTCCGGCGCCACTTATACAAGAATGGTAGCCCGGATTTTTAGAGCAGTCTTAGGCCGGACGATGGAGGCATACGTCGATGATATGATCGTTAAGAGCAAACAATCCACAACTCATGCCGACGACCTCCTGTAACACTTGAGATTTAATATAAACGGATTAATAGTACTACTCATACCAATAGAGGTGCATCTCCTTTTAACGGAGCTCATTACCCAAGAACTCCAAAGTTAAGCGTGCTTGCACGAGAGTAGTCTTGGGATGGGTGATCCCCTGGGAAGTTTCTCAGGGCGCGCACGAGTGAGGACAAAGTGCGCGTAAAAGGTTAGTGGCGGTTTGTGAGGACAGTACTATTGGTCCGGAGTAACTACCTCGGGTCCCATGGGGCCGGGGTGTTACAGTTGGTATCAGAGCCTATGGTTCTTTGGGGAATTTTTCTAAACAATTTTTCTAAGGTTTTCTAAAGAGGTTTTCACACGTTTTTGAAATTTCCTTTAATGTTTTTTCAAAATGCTTTTCCAAATTATATTTGAAAAAAAAAACAATCTAGGACTAAAATAAAATTTTAGGCGCGTGGTGAGGTTGTGAGACTTTGATTTTGATTTCCGTTGATTTTGCGGCTATTTTAATTTTCTTGGGATATGTTTAAGTGTGACATATCCATTTATGTTTATTTGAGGATAAGTTTGGAAGAACTTTAGACAATATTTGATTAGTGAGTTATTGGTTAGAGTGGTAAAATTGTGAATACCAGCTGTTTGGTAGATTTCTTATTTGTATCCTAAACGCTATCCTTTTCAAGGAGACAATGACGTCAACGAGGAACAACATCGAGAGCAATGATGACGCACCAACGAACTCGGAGTTAGCTCAAAATATGGTCCAACTAACACAACTCATCCAGACTGTCACGAATGTGTTACTACAGAATCAAAACCAACAACATCTCAACACCCGTAATGATGTAGCGAAACTTATAGCGAAGCGCAATCCCCCGAGCTATTTAGGTGAAGAAGATCCTCGCATCCTTGAGAATTGGATTCGCACTTTCGACAAGCTATTCGACGCCATAAACTGCCTCGCGGATCAACAGGTTGATATAGCTGCATACTACTTACGTCAAGAGGCGGATAATTGGTGGGCCATGACTGGCCCAACATTGTGTCAACAACCTGACTTTTCTTGGGAGACATTTAAGAAGGTAATGCGAGAAAGATTCTATCTAGAACACGTGAGAGCTGAGAAGTACGAAGAATTCTTACATCTGAAGCAAGTGGGTATGACCGTTCAAGAGTATCACGCCAAATTCTTGGAGCTCGCACGATTTGCACCCGCGCTAGTTCCCGATGAAATTGACAAAACTAACAAGTTTATACGCGGTCTGAACTTCGAGACACAAAAAGCTCTTTGCGTTACAGAATGCCAAACTCTCTGAATGAGGCCTACGGCAAAGCTGCCAAGCATTACCGAGTGAAACAGCACCAGAAAGAAGCACTTAAGAAAGCGAGAAAGGGCACCGAAGAAGAAAGCAAACGAGGAGACAAACGACAGAGGCCAAATCATCTCAAGGAGACCCGAAACAGGAACAAGATCAACAATCAAGGTCACGATCAAAAGCATAAGAAGAACTATTCCGGTAATACCGCACACTTCTATTGCATGAAATGTGGCAAGGATCACCCTGGGAAATACTGTGACGGAACAATCGCGCGATGTTTTCACTGTGGCAAGCTAGGTCATCGGGTATTCGAGTGTCGTTCTAGAAAGAAGGGAATTCCTCCAAGTCGTGAAGTCAATCATCACTCAAAGAATGCCAACCACAACGGAGGAACATGAGAATTATAAGCAGAATTATATAATCAAAATTTTAGTTATCCGTACTAGTAAATCTCTTTGAGAATAATGTATCGTTCGGTCTTGAATGAATAATTATTTTCTTTTAGTAAGTTGCATGCTTCGGGGACGAAGCATCCTTTTAAGGGGGGTAGAATGTGACACTCCCAAAATTTAAGTAAAATAAAATAGTCAATTTACTAATTAAATAAAAATTTTACAAAAAAGTTAATTAAAAAGGGTGTTGGTGAAAATTATGTTAAAACAAACAATTTAAACTTAATCCAAGTGATGTGAATTTCATACTACGTATATACATTACATGAACGTACATGTATTTCTTATACACTACATGCCCATTCATTGACTTTTCTATTACTCTCCAATAACACTCCGTATGTATATCTTGGCATATACACATAAACGTGTTTGCCATATGTGAACCATGCG